ATATAGTACAGTGATCACCAACCTGTGGATCTTGGAGCCACTGGGAGTGGATCTGAGGCTGGGGTGGGGGCTGGGTGCCCCGTGCATGCCCGCCTGCACCCCAGCCCAGCAGGTCGGTCTGTGGGGGGAGGGGAGGGGAGGGGTGGGGGCTAGATGGAGGCCCCCGCCATGAGGCATGGTGCTGCAGAGGCAGGAGCAGGGGTAAGTGGAATGGGGCCCCGGCCAGGTGGGCTTCACCAGCAGGGGAGGCATGCCCCCAAATATTTTTTCTCCCTCTGCCTCAATCTGCCCCCCAACAGACAAACCTGCTGGGGCAGGGAGGGTTCCAGCGCACGGTAGATCTTGGCTTCCTTTTAAATGCCAGAGGTGATCTCCTACTTTAAAAGGTTGGAGACCACTGCTCTAGTGCATCGGTTAGAACATCGTTACATTATATAGGTGTCCGCTTTTAATAGCATTAATGTAGTACTCTTTGTTTGAATCGGTTTATTTATTCATTTTTAATAGTAACAGGACCGAAACAGAAATGGGGAGACTGAACGCATAACGAGAATCCGGTAGGCACGCTGTTATGCAAATGTGCCAATAAAATATTTCCTATAAATAATTTATTACAGATTCTTATTCGTGATAGAACAGCATTATAGCACCACGAATACTGTAACACAAATAAATGCTATGATGATATAGCATCATAGATGTAGCAACTATCAACATTTATCTAACCATATGGACATAGCATCATCCTTTACCTATCTATATAGATATAGCATCATCAACATTTTTCGTAGATTATTATGCCAATAGCAATTCATAGATTCATAGATGCTCAGGTCAGAAGGGACCTCAACAGATCATCGAGTCCGACCCCCTGCCCCGGGCAGGAAAGAGCGCTGGGGTCAGACCACCCAGCCAGGTGCCGGTCTGATTATTCCAATATTATTACAACACTATTCCTTAAAAGGTGAGTTAGTCATTAATATGCAAACACATGATTACCATGATCATGATGTCATAGTGTTATTTGTGTTTACAAATCAATCTTGCATAGTCTCAAATATGCAGATGTGCTGATTATAATGCCATATTAGGACATGGGTTATTAACCAGTGACATCAGAAATCAGTGACCCAGTAATATGTGTGATGCATTATCTATATACATATTTTTAGATATCTATACATACATACATATAGAGATACACACACACACACATATAGATAGAGATATTTAGGGAAGACGTATCAGTAATACCTATAGTCCACTATATGAATACTATTAACATGCTAATTTATGAATGATCTGTGCTGATATTCATAATACTAATGATGTGATTCATGCTCCATAGATAAGAAAAAGTCATTAGTAAGAAATAATTTGCTCTTGATCATGTTTATGCATGATGGCCTGCTGCTTATGATAGAAGTGGGTTAACATTTCCGGGCCCAGTAGACAATGGAGGCGCCCCAGGAGTCGATAGGTAAATGAAGGGTTAACTAAATAATTATATAACTTGTTGGACTAATAATGCCTGTGAAATAATAGTGACTCAGGCTCATTATGGGAACAAGAGGTTGATGAGGAGGGGCAGGATGATGAAACAGGGCAAGCCATGGGGACTGCATCTCCCAGGAGCCTTTGCACGGAGCCATGCCACTTGTAGTCCAAACACACCCTTGGGGACTGCAGCGCCCAGGGTGCTTTGCTGCTCCCCCCCCCTTCCTGCACAAGAGGAACCAGGGGCGTGGGGGGAAGAAAAATAAAAAAATCTTCTGGTTCCCATGAACCTTTGCATGGCCATCACGTGGCCATGATGCTTCTAGTCCAAGCATTCCCTTAGAAACGCATTGGGTGGGGCCTCAGGATGGGACTACATCTCCCATGAGGCCTTGCCATGACGTTTGTAGTCCCATTCTGAGACCCATATCAATGGGTTTCTATCTCCCATGATGCCTTGCGCGAGCTCTCAGGCCGCCATGACACTTGTAGTCCCTCAGAAACCCACTGGGCTGGGACTCAGTTTGGGACTACATCTCCCCTGAGGCGTTGCGCGCCCCCTCCGGCCGCCATGACACTTGTAGTCCAAACACCCCCTTAGAAACGCCCGCCCGGCTGAACCCCATCTCCCAGGAGTCCTTGCGCCCACCCTCAGGGCGCCGCCATGACGCCTGTAGTCCCCGCTCCCGCCTCCCCGCATTGGAACGCCTGGGCGGGCGGGGCCGGAGGGGACTACGACTCTCAGCAGCCGCCGCGCGGGCGCCATTTTGAAGGGGAGGCCCGCGCGCCTGCGCATTGAGGCTTGCGCGTGGGGGAGGGGAGGAGGAGGATGCTCGAGGAGGCTGAAGGAGGGGGCAGCTGCGCCAG